CCAACGCGATCGGGGCGCGGCCTCAGCGCGCCGACCGCGATCGCGATCAGATCGTGGACGGGGGTCTGCCCGATCCTGCGACCGACAAAGGATTGCGATCGTTGGCGGATGATCTCGCCACCAACAGCGCCAGTTTCGTTCCGAAACGCACCGTTCGACTGATCGGTCGCAAGTTGGGCGCTGGCGGCAGCGCCCGCAGGAGGATTCAACAATTGATCGAGAATCTGGCAGGAGACTGCCAGATACCCAAACAGCAGTGCACGAGCTGCTACCGTGATCGCCCCAACGAAGACTCGAACGATAATGGCATATGCCACTTTTCTTCCGAGCCATTAGAGCGCGGGGGAGCAGGCGCTCACCGCGTCAAGGTCTTGGCCGACGCGCGCGCGTGGATCCGTGAACAGGTGGGCGAGAACGCCGCGCGCCAACTCGCGCGCGCCGACGCCCGCATCCGCGTCGCGGGCGCGCGCTCCGACGGAGCGACGCTCTCCGCAGGCCCGCTCGCAAGGCCAAGCTCCGCCACGCCAAATGGCTAGAGGCTGGCAGTCCCAGCCCCGGCCAATGCCGCATCGGCGGACTCGAGGACACAGGCGCAGAGGGAACGGTTCTCGATCATCCGTATCCCGATGTCACGCATCGATCTCCAAGAGGATGGCGTCGTTCATCGTCAGACGACAGAGGAGAGAGCGCAGGCATGCCTGCGCCCGTGCGCCATCGAGAACACGAACGAGGCGATGCGCCTCTGGGGCGAGAGCCACAGGCAAGGTCTCGCTAACCGGCAGGCACCCGCCCCCGGGCCCCCCCTCGCGGCGCGCGGCTTGACCTCGAATATCTGATTGTTTCCGCTCCATCTGCGAAGGGAACTGGTCGGATGAGTCGCGTCGCGTTGAAGGGCCTCCGGGCGCAGGCGCCCGAAGGTGTTGGCTAGAGAATGGGCGATCGCATTGATGCCGCCGCCGAGGCGCCTGTCCGCCTCGCGACTACTCCTCCACCTGTCCGACTCACCCCTGCCCCTCCACTCCCGCGCCGCGATGGCCCCGCGACCGCCTATGCTCCTGGCGGCGCTGGCTGGTGAGAAGCCGCGGACGGGCCTGGCGGAGCTGCAAACTCATCAACATCACGCCGACCCATGACACCACCCAGGCGCCCTGGCCTCTATTATGATGACGACCGCGGTCGAAGTCGGAGCGCCGTGCGAGAGTGCCGCAACGTCCGCGCCTGGTGGCGCCGCGGCCTGATGCACTTCCAGCGCGACACCTGCGGCTACCGGTCGGACCACCTGTCACAATGGGTCTACATCGACGGCGAGGACAGTGAGTATGTCTGGTCGTGGGACAACTACCAGACAATCACCAACAGTTGTTTCAACAATTATGGTAATCGCTTTTGGGGCGAGCGTTGCGATGATAATTGGAGGCGGGCATCGATTTACAGATGTTACTGCGTATCTTGCTGCGGGCATTTTGAGATTCATTCTGGATTTTGATATGATACAATTACAGACCTTATTCAGGATACTTTCGAGATGATTTGATACATGTATCGTTTGACTGGATATAATTGACTTCGCACTGTAGATCGATTTGAGAGCTATTTGGCATGATCTGGCAATCGGACAGAAACGCACCCATGCAGGTCGCCCGCCAGGAATACAAACAACGTCATATTATCTTGAGTCAGGATACGGCGTCAGAGAACGACCGTCCCAGAGTACTCTTCACGATTATCTTGAACCTACCTTTGGGGCCTGGAGTGCCTCGCATCATGCGTGACATAATCTCAGGGATCAGTTGACATCACAACTACTTGTACTCATGGTTAAACCGGGCCTGGAGAGCCCTAGAATCTTTTGGGCTGGGAGTGCTCCGCGATTGAGACATGCTTCTACTTTGATCGAGTTGTCGTCGCACCTTGGCCCGAAACATTATACGCATGCGTTGCGTCGGTGCCTACGCTTGCATCGAAGGATGCTGGTGCCACCTCTTGGTTTTCTCTTTCTCTGTCTCTCTCTCTCTCTCTCTCCCTCTCTCTCTCTCTCTTGTTCTCCTAGCCCTCACCTGCAGTGATGGAGTATCGTGCTGGAGTGCCGAAGCGTTTGGTGGGGGCGCACCCATGGCCCGCTAAGTCGGGCAGATCGTCCTCAGTACCCCGCGTGGTGGGGTTAGTTTTCTCCCCGCCTTCCTAGCCACTACTCCCTCGTTTGGAGGGGCGGTGCATGCAACGGGGCTGTGAGTGAACCTCACTCTCCTGTTCACAATCCCTGTCGTTGTCTCCCGCGGGCCCGAGGCCATCGGGAGCTGGCAGGCTTCGGGACTGGGTGCGCGCGTGAAGTCCGCTCACTTCCCTATTGCATCCCTTCCGCAACTGCACTGGTTCAGGCATCGGCATGCTGACCTTGAGGCGCTGCTCGCGGCGCAGCGCCTAGCAAAAGGGAAGCCTTGACCTACGGATCCTATACAGGAGCGGCCCTTCGGCCGTCTCCCTGCATCCACGCTATGTAGACCCATGTGGAATTTGGCGACGGAAGGGAAGGGCAGGGGAAATATAATGAGAGGGTGGCGGGGAGGACGGGGACGAGGTAGAGGACGAGGAGAAGGAGCGCGCGACGACGACGGCGCCATTATCGGAAGCACCGGCGGCGACGGCGGCAACGACGATTAAGATGACAGCGGCGTGCGCGGCGACGATGTCAACGACGACGACGACGATAACGCCGGCCGCGTGGGCGGCGCTGGCGACGACGACGACGACGGCGACCATGCCGACGACATTGGCGACGACGACGGCGGCGAGAGCGGCGCCGGTGGCGACGGCGACGACGAAGACTGCAGTGGCCTTGGCAGCGGCGGCAGCGGTGGCCGCCACGACGTCTGTTTCGGCGGCGGCGACGACGTGGACAGCGGCGATAATGACGACGACGGTGACGGGAACGACGGCGACGGAGACGACGACGACGGCTACGATGTCAACGACGTCGCCAACGACGCCGACGACGACGACGACGACGATGGCGACGAAACATTTCCAGCGCGGCAACTGGGAGCCCACAGTTGCGAGGATGTGCCAGGCGAAACGGAATTTCGGAACCCAGAGATGGGAGGATATCCCTGGCGAAGTTGGCCAGACCACCTCGCACGCGGCACTTCGGAACTCAGAATTGAGAGGCAGGCCGCAGGCAGAACAGGCTGGACCACTTCACGTCTCCAAGCCCTGAGTCGCGAGGGTGTCCCAGGATGCGCGAGGATGTCTCAGGCGAACGTGACCGGACCACCTCGCGCGTAGCATCTTCGAGCCCCAGTGTTGCGAGGATGTCTCATGCGCAATTGGCTGGACAACCTCTCGCGCGGCACCCGTGAGCTCCGAGTGGCGAGGATATCTCAGGCAAAATTGGCTGGACCACCTCATGTCCGGTCACTTCGGAGCCCCAGCGAGGATGTCCCAGGCGAAAGGGGCCGGATCACCTCAGGTCACGGCAACTTTCAGCCCAAACTTGCAAGAATGTCTCAGGCGAGACGGGCTGGGCCACGTCAGATCAGAGCTCTGGCGAAGTGGGCCAGACCACCCTGCGCGCGGCATCTCGAAGCCCTGAGTTTCGAGGATGTTCCCAGCGAAATTGGCCAGGCGACCTCGCGCGCCGCATCGTTGGGCTCAGCTTTAAACGGATGTCTCAGGCGAAGTCAGCTGGATCACCCCAGGTCAGAGCATCTCTGAACTCAGAGTTGCGAGGATGCCTCCGGCAAAAGGGGCTGGACCATTCAGGTCACGGCATCTCTCAGTGTTTACCGGCCAATCGGGACCGAACCCGCCGCGAATTTGGAGAGCGTCGAGGGCTGCGACCCTCGGTGGCTCCTAGACGGGCGCGCGTCGAGTTCCTTGTTGGGCGCGGGCAGAAGCGAGATGAACCAACGTATGCCAGCGCGTCCGCATGGCTTGAGGCTGCTGCTTGCGTCGATGCTTGTAGCGCGCACTGTGCCTCGCGTGCCTGGCGTCCCGTCGGTTTGCCTGGCGCGCGCGGCGCGCGCGCTTGCCGCGAGTGGCCTTCGATAATTTATTGTTTTTGTTTCCAACCCTCCCGCGCGTTAGGTCCTCGCTTTGAATCTCGGAGACTCTCGGAGCCCAGTTGGGAGGGCGTCCGAACTAAAATTGGCCAGACCACATCAGGTCAGGGCTTCTCTGAGGCCAGAGTTGCAAGGATGTCTCATGCGAAACGGGCCAAACCACTTCAGGTCACGGCATTGTCAAGTCCAGAGTTGAGAGGATGTCTCCGGCAAAATTGGCCAGACCGCCTAAAGCCGGAACAACTCTGAGCTCAGAATCGTGAGAATGTCTCATGCGAAAGTGTGTTCTCAATGGCGGCGAAGGCAGCATTGTGGGCGAAGCTATCGTCGTCCATCACAAGCAGCACAGCACGGCAGATTCCAACAAAACCCTACTTAGCACCGCTGTCTGGGGAGTCGAGCGAACGGTATCCAAAGCCACCTCTGGCGCGTGCCAGCCGAGTGTTGGTGTGGATCCGTCTACGTTCAAGCTCCGACATGCCCTGACGTCAGGTGCTCTGGAGCATTTTCCTGACTCGTCCTCACCTCTGGGTTCCAAGATGCGTTTCGCAAGGTGGTCGCGACAGAGACATCCTTGGAACTCCGGGCTCTCAGATGCCCCGATTTGAGGTACGTTGGCCCGTTTCGCCTGATACATCCTCACAACTCAGGGTTCCTAGATGCTGTTCGCGAAGTGCTCAGGCCCGTCTCGCTTGAGACACCCTCGGAGTCCAGGAAAAGCGGAGCAGTTCAAATTTCGTGAATTCGCGTCCCAACCGAGCGAGCTCGAGTCGAACGCATTGGCGTCAGGCGGCGTAGACGTGCCACGTCTTGGGCCAACTTGTGAAATGTCGAGTGGCGTCGGGTGGCGTCGAGTTGCCGCCACCCGTTGTACGTTTACGTAGCCACTGTTCACGGCCCTGACCACGCGGCGATGTTACCAGTTGCGTTCAAAACAGTGGAATGTGGCTTTCCAGTGACGGCACCTTCAGATCTTGGTTGAAGCGGGTAAAGGGTGATCAGTCCCAGTGGAAGTGGTTGCAACGCACTACATCACGGTACTACACGGTCGACTTCAAAACGCAGAAGTTCTATTATTCCCAGGACCAAGTTCAGAAGAATATTTCGCAGCCAGTGTCATTTCAGGATTTGAAGGGTGCCGAATTGCTGAAAGGTCGAGGACAAGGCAAACAAGGCGGTTGTGGTTTTCTAGTCCACACCTTTGCCCGCACATACGAGCTCTACGCAGCTTCAGAAGCGCTTGCCGAGCGGTGGGTCGAGTCCCTGAATGCCGCTACAAACCTGGCATCGGGGGACAGGGATGGCCACTACGCAGAGGCATACTGCCTACCAGACAGGGCGGCAAGTGGCTGGACCCTGGATCCGCAGAGCCGTGTGGGTGCTTGGCAGCTGGCAGGCGCAAGCCCGAGCCCGACAAGAAGTGGCGGGCTCGGATATCCAGCAGCGCTTGCCGCGCGTGCCCGCCGCCCCGCGCCCGAAGACGAGAGGGAGCCAATGTTGGCAGCGCGGCACGCTCACGTGAAGCGACGCAGAGCAGAAGAGCCACCAGGGGCCCGCCACGCGGCTACAGTCGCTGAGAGAAGGACCGCGTCGGGCTCAGGAGGGGGTCCTGATATCCAGGCCGCGCCTCACATATATATAATATATATATATATATGTATATATATATATACACATGTATCTACATATGTATACTTATATTTTTATATAGATATATACATTTATATATAGATAGATAGATATCTATATATATATATATAGAAAGATATATCTATATATAGATATATATACATATATATAGATAGATAGATAGATAGATAGATATATAGATATATAGATAGATAGATAGATAGATCGATAGATAGATATATATATATATATAGAGAGAGATAGATAGATTGATACATATATAGATAGATAGATCTATAGATCTATGGATAGATAGATAGATATATCAGAGTTATTGGGGGGTCCCAGGGCTGCCAGGACTGCCCGGGCCCGCTCCCAAACATGGTACGACGCACCAAGAGGGCTTTAAATATTGCCAAGACAGCCCCAAGAGGCCCTGGACACGCAAAAGTTGGCCTCAGGACGGCCGACGACGCCGCCAAAACGCCCCAAGAGCGCGTCCAGAGGCCCCTCCAAAGGGCCCCAGAAGCCGAACATCATACATGTTCCGATGGGTTCTGACGCATATTTCCGCTCTCGCATGTTCCGCCTCCCCACGGTCCCGGACGGCGTCAGAGGGCCTTTAGATCGTTCCAAGACGGCCGAAGAGGTTCCCAAGAAAGCCCAGAGACGGCCCAGGAGGCTCCCCAGATAATTCAAGAGGGCCTCGAGAGCGCCCCAAGAGAGCCCCAAGAGCGACCCAAGAGGGCCCGAAGAGCGCTACATTTCAAGGTCTCCGGCCTGAGAGGCTCCTAGGACGCCCCCAGAGGCTATCAAGAGGCTCCCAAGAAGCCCCGTGAGGCTCCCAAGAGGCCCCCCGGAAGCCCCAATAGGCCCCCAAGGAGCCCCCAGGGAAGCCCCTTGCGGGCCCCGAAGACACCTCGTTAAATCATACTTCCCAGACAGCTTTCCGGGAACATGATTCCTTGGGCTTCCACCCACCGTCCCAACCATGTTTCCAATAGGCTTGCTGACAAGGCTAAAAGGGGCCCCTCGATACGCCCCCAAAGACCCCCATCTTAAGAGAGCCGAACAAATCATGCTCCCAGAAAGCTTCCCGGGAACATGATTCTCGGGTTGCCGCCCTCTGCCAAAACCATGTTCCCTAAACGCCTGCCAGGACAAAAAAACATGAGAGTCCCAAGCAGTGCTACCTGCCGCCACGCTCGGAAACGCGTCAGGCCCCGAGGCCTCCAGGGCGCCCAACGACGCCCCAACAAATCATGTTCCCAGGAAGCCTTCCGGGTCAGGCTTCCGCCCCTGGTCCCAACCATGCGTCCCAAAATGCGCGCCAGGCAGCCCCCCAAATGGGCCCTCATACACGCCATCATGTTGCCAGAAAGTTCTCCGATAACATGAATCCTCAGGCTTCCGCTCCCCGCACGCAACATCTGTCCCAAAGCGCCTGTCAAGCAGGACTCGAATGGGCCCTCAAGTACTTTCCTAGAAGCCCCACAAGATGCTGATGATGACGATGATGATGACGAAGGTGACGACGATGATGGTGATGGTGATCGTGATGGCTGTGATGATGCTGACGACGATATCCACGACCACGCTGATGATTATGAGGAGGACGGTGCGGAGACTCCCAAGGGGCAGGGGCCCCAAGAGGCAACCACGAAGTACCCAAGAGCCCCCATAGAGCTCTCCAAGAGGCCTCCGAATAACTTCCACCACCCATCTCCGAACAGGCATCCAGCAGGCCACTGGCCCATCACCCAGGCATGGCGGCCTCAGGTCCACAACCCCAGTTACCAAGACGCTCGGTCTTGGGGAGGGATGCTGAGGGCGAGGACGACGACGATGATGATGGTGACGATGATGATGCGGGTGACGATATTGACGGTGATGACGATTGCGATGATGACGACGGTGATGACGATGGTGTTGCTGATGGTGGTGGTGATGATGATGGTGTTGATGGTGATGGTGATGATGGCGATGTCGATGACGATGACGATGAAGGTGATGGCGATGAAGGATGGCGATGGTTCTACCATGTACATATATATACATATATATATGCATGTGTCCGGGAAACCGATTCGCCGCGGAGGCTCGCCGTGGCCCGAGAAGCCCTGTCGTTCCTTAGCCTGCGCCCCTTGTGCGTAGCACGACGGCGCCGCGGACGAGCGCGGTGGCGGACGTGTTTGACGAGGCGGGGGACGATTCCGAGGCCAGGTGCCGTGAGGCACTCTACCAGATCCCCAATGATGTTCGCAGCGCTGCAGCCGAGCGGGAACCGCGGTGGGCTCAGTTGAGCTGGAGTGAGCGCCTCTCGACCGTGCAGAGCTTCGCTGGAGGAACGGGCCATGGGATTGCCTACCCGACCGCTGCCCAGACCTCTTCGCCACAGTCCGACGGCCTACGCCACCGTCGCCGCTTGGCGCCATCCTGCCCGTGGGCACCTTTCGAGGAGGAGCGCCTCAGCTCAGCAGCACTCTCTGCGGTTCCACTCGCAAGCCATGCCGGTGCAGAGAATGCTGGCACAACGGGTGCCCTGCTGAGCAGCCGTCCTGGCAGCGAAGCGTGGGACGCAGCGATGTTTGCAACCCCGCGCGAGGTACCGCTCGAGGTCGACGCCGCCCGCGCCGGGCCGGAGGTACAGGAGCAGTGCCGCGTTGCGCTCGTCACGATGCCTTGTTCGATCCGAAGCGCTGCAGCCCTGGACCGGCACCGCCTAAACATACCTCACACGGTGTGCGCGCCGGCCCCGCAGGGGCGAGGCGCACGCTCAGACGTCTTGCAGTGTAAGCTCCGCGGCGGGCGCTGTCTGGCCATGCAGGCTCGGTAAACGATGTGCTGCAAGGTTTGTGTACTGTGTGTTCGTGTCGGACGTGTCCCGACATCGGCATACAGTACTGCAGTGCGTCCTTCTGCACCCCGCAGGAGCACGAAGAGGCCTGGCCACGATTCACGTGGGCCGAGCGGTTCTCGGCCGTCCGCAGCTACTGCTTGCAGCACGGCTTCGAGTGCGAGGACGTCCTCGGGGCACCAGCAGCTCTGCGGCAGCAGCCCGTGGCAGCACTTCGTGACGGGCGCGATGCAGCAGGAGCGCGACAGGACCGTTCGGACAATGCTGCCCCCCCTCCCCCCCCCTTCGTTCAGCGATTCGGAAAACCACGAGCGGCATGAATTGTCGTTGTCCACGGGCGGTTTTTGCCGTCGGCGCCAGAGCCCCTCGTAGCAGCATTTGGCTCAGGGGCAACGTAGGGAGGAGATGATCTCAGGGGTGGTTGCATCGGCCCCAAATCGCCCGTTCATCGCCGGTGAGGACCCGATAGCCCAGCCCGTCCTGCCCAGGAGCGTGCGGATAAGCTACCGGGGGCTTGTCGCCGATCTATCGGCGATGTATCGCCGATTCCAGGCTCCATAGGGCGCTCCATCGAAGGGCCCAGTGGGAGGGTTCTCGTGCGGCTCCCCGTCTACCGCATGTCCATTTTGGCGCACCCCTCACACGCTTCGTGGCCTCATAAGGAGCTCCACGTAAGGCCCCAGTGGCAGGGTCCACATGCGGCTCCCCGCCCGGCATCCCTCACACGATTTGCCGCTCAATAGGGCGCCACCGAAGGACCCAGTGGCAGGGTCCATATGCGGCTCCCCGCCCATCGCACGTCCATGTCGGCACACCCATCACACGCTTCGTGGCCCAAAAAGGAGTTCCGCCTCCTAAGGCCCCAGTGGCAGGGTCCACATGCGGTTGCCCGCCCACCGCATCTCCAATACGGCACGCCCCTCACACGCCTCGTGGCCCCAAAGAAAGCTCCACCTGAGGCCCCAGTGGCAGGGTCCACATGCGGCTCCCCGCCCATCGCACGTCCATGCCGGCACACCCCTCACGCGTTTCGTGGCCCCATCAGGAGCTTCACCAAAGGCCCAAATGGCAGTGTCCACATACGGCCCCCCCGCCCACAGCATTTTTAATGAATCGCTTCGCTCTCTCCGCGGGCCCATATTGTCCGCCGTGGTTGACTGACCGAGTGGTCTCTCGCGGTGCGGAGCGACAGGGGTGGCGGCTGTTCTTTTATCAGGTTTTGCGTTGGACATGTGGGGCTTCTTGGTGGCCGCTGGGGGAGTCTTGAACGCGTCGCGGGCCGTCTGGAAGCATTTTGCCTATGGGGACTCTTTCGGGAGGCCTCTTAGTGGCCTTTTGGGAACTCCTGGGGCCACTTGGGGGCCTCTTGGGGGCCTTCTTCCTGACGGCCTGTTGGGGGCTTCTTGGGGCTTCTGATGGACCTCTTGGGGACTCGTGGGGGCTTCTTAAGGCCGAGGGCTCGTGTTCCCCCCCTGAACTTTAAGGGTAGCTCTTTGGGAGATGTTATAGAGGATCGGGAATTAGCCTGCGCGTCGCTTCCATTTTGGCTCAAGGCACGCGCGCCCTATTTGCCCGGACACTGACCTTAGTGTTCGCTACGTGCTGGAAAGATCATCACATCGATCTTATCCTATCCTACCCATGCACACCGCATATCGTATTCCTTCGACATGGAATTGGATGCTACATGACCGACCAGAGTCATTCCGGACTTGGTAGCGGAGCTGGCCGCACTCTCGTGTGGTCAGCCCTTGCTCTTCTTATCCGCACGCTACCCGGCACGATCTTCGTGACCAACCTCCTACCCTGCGCCACCACTCCACTTACACTTACGAGGATCAACACAAGCGCAAGAAGCAACACGAGAGGTACGACGTCTAGACAACAACATTAGTACCATATGCGCTTCATCACTACGCTACTACCAACCGCTCGGCAAGGAGCCAAAAACGCAGCATTTGAAGCGCAGGCGGGGAGACCCGCAAGATAAAGTGCCTCGTAGGCTTGACAAGGCGCTACAAGCCCTACCCCAGCGCGGCAACGCGCCCGATAACCACCCATACCTCCACAGCTTAGGGTTGGTTATCATTGCCATTATATGGTTTGCGCTGGGGGCGGCAATCGGACACATGCGCCGAGTAGAAAATTGCACCGATGGGTAAACACATGGCCCATACTGGGACCCCCAAGGTAACGTACCCTTTCGCGAGTACGTCTACGAGGTCAACGCTTGGCTTAACGTCACGAGTGGACGCATGACGCCACAAGCCCAAGCAGCCGCCATACAACGCGGCCTGGGCGGCCTCGCGAGGACACTCGCCATGAGGGTACCGCCTGACATCATAAACTATGGCGAGGACATCGATGGTGTCCACACCGACCCAGTAACATATAGCATGCTCCTCCTAAGCATGAAGTTCGAACGCCTGGAAGATGAGCGCCAGCTCGCCTCAGGCAATCAGCTCATCGACTTTCATGTGCCTCACGGAGAACGAATCGACGTAACCCTTACTCGGTTCGAAATGGCCCGTCTTGAGGCACAATCGGTGGGCTTTGACCTTCCCAACTTCCCACTGCTTACGACCATCCTATCCCGCGCCCTAGGCGTCGGCAACCAGCGAGCCATGCAACTCGCGCAACCACTCAACCATCAAATGCCCCGAACACAACAACAATATGAAGAGCTGTGTGAGAGGATGCGCTCGATAGGCCATTTGTCAGAACGGTCTCCTGGCAACATAGGATCAGTGTTTGGAAGGGGAGGGGGAACTGGCAGTGGACATGTCTATACTACCTTAACCACTGAAGCTCAGCCTGGCAACGGGCCCTCAAGCATGTGGGCCGACGATCCCGGAGAATCTACTGCCCTACTATCAGGGGGTCGATCACAACCAAGCTGGGCAACCAGCCCTCCTCCTAGGGAGCCTCAGCCTCACCGCTCTCTATGGGGAGAAGCGAATCCCCTAGACGACGGTGTAGCCACCTACCTAGTTATCGACGACTTCGACTCAGGCACCGACACCGACGCGATATCATCAGATGGCATCGAGCCACTAGACTGGTCAGATATCATGCAAATGGAAGGCGATAAGCAACGTGCCGAACATTTATTTTGGATATTGCAACAGGCAAAGCGTAGGTGGAGGAGGTTTACACGAAAACCAGGGCGTCGTGTTAGGAGGAAGATACGGAGGAGCTGCAAAGGAAACTGTAAAAATGCAAACGGGGTCGCCGAAGGTTGAACGGACGAGGCATCGCGGCTTTTCTCCAGAGGTTTTCAGATGATCATTATGATGAGATATTCTTCGGGGGAAAAGGCAGTGGAACAGGCCGCAGGGAAACCCCAGGCAAAGGCAAAGGCAGGCGGGGAAACCCGCGAGGTAGAGACGGCCAGATCTTGAAGTGCCATGAATGCGATAGTACCGATCACCTTGTGAAGGATTGTCCAGTGAAGGGGAATGCAAAGGGCAGATCGGCCGAAGTCCATTTAGGCGCAAGTTAACCTGCTATTGAGTATCTGAGCCTCCAAGACTTCGAGGCTGTGGAACAGTTTTTTTTCACTTGGGTCAGTAACATGGACACTCTGGACGAGATCGAGGCGCGCGGCCACGGGCTCCACGCGTACTACCTCGAGTACCTCCGCAGGTTCATCTACGGAGCCATCGAGCTCACGCCTGTGGAAAATGGAACGCTGGGAAACCAGCCATTTTCTTTCTTCGACTGGATGTTCGGTAATCCAGGTAACATCATGGCGTACGAGAGAAGCGACGAGGACATCACTGTTGAGGCCTCACCTTCGGAGGTTGATCACAATCTCCGACGTCAACCTGGCTCCGTGCATGGAAACAGGCCCACTCCAGTGTGTCCGCCAAATTACGGCGAACTGATGGAACTGGAGGCTCAAGCCTTTACCGTGGGCGTGCCGGGCAATCCTCATGAGCCACCTGGCATGCTCGCGCCGGGCGAGTACGGGCCGCGCGCGGTGCTGCAGACCCTCATGCAGATGCACGCCGTACAAGCTGAAGAATATCATGATAGTCAACAGAGCGTCGAGAGTGGCCACATGATGCTGCAAGACTCCGATGTCTGCGATGACTCGGAATTGCTGGTGGCGCCCCTTACTTACTCTCATCGACCGCGTGCTCCCTGACGACGTGCAGCGACACGTATGGTTTGCACAGGGGCGTTGGCGCCAAGCCCTTGAGAGGGCTATCGCAATGCGTGGACAGGCGCTTCCCCCGCCTGGATGGGGTCTCCAGGCGGTGGGACTACAGCCCAACCATACGGCCATGCGAAACGTTATCGGGGAGCCCTCTTATGACTATGATCAGCTTGAGGCGCACTCCGTGCTCGGCAACGAGCCTGAGCCGACCGCAGTACTGCTGGCGCCGGGGCAGCCGAGCGATGCTCAGACGCCTTTACAGCAGGGAAACCTGCCCGTCCCGGCTGGGCCAATGACCATTGTCAGTGGCAATCCTACTTTAGAAGTTGAAGAGGATGACGGATGTGGAATGTGCGAGGACGAGGCCACCATCCCCATGATGGAAGTCCATGGCGAAGACGAGGAGGTGGACTTCGACCCAGACAGTCCTGACGCACCACCACCCGCACAAGAACCAATTGTGCCAGATTCCAGTCAGCATGGAGACCTGCCTGCCCAGGATGCGCTGCCTACGTCTTCTCAGGAACCCCCGCCGGCTCCTGCTCAAGCTATGTCAGCAGCATCATCCGACGAACAGGCCAGGAGGTCTCGCTCGCATCCGCGTCTTAGGGGCGATCCGCACCCCCAAGGACGGCTCCCGCGTGAATGGAGACAGGCAGCCCCATCAGAGCATGCCGCTCGACGGCGGGGCCAGCTGTTCGCCTACAACGACCCTAGGCGCCAAATGGGTGAGCACTCTGCCTTTGGACAGGGCAACCCGGTATACAGGGGCGCCCAAGGCAGGTCCATCCGGAGTGGATATCAGCTCGCGACGGACATTCGACGCCCCGATAAAGAGGCAGCGCGGAAACAGCTGAGAGCCATCATCGAGGAGCGCCGCCGCTACAGGCCCAATGCGGTCTGAGGTCCTTGCTCACAGGACTTCCAGGAACACAGGCCTGGTTGCCCTGTAGGCTTCAATGACGTCCTAAGCCCGAACAGGGGCCGCACTCCTGCAAAAGAGGGTCATCCACCACTTGTGCCGATGACCCAAGAAGAGATAGACGAGGTCAATCGTCGTCTCGGAACCACGGCCCACAGAAGCGCTACT